CCCCGCCGGGAGTCCCGCAGGGGGGGACGGGCCGAACGCGACCGTCCCCACACGAGACAAATGGCTCTTTTCATCCTCGGGGCGTTGAATCGGGCAAACTTGAGGGCGCGTTTCTCGGTGCGTGTCCCCGCCGCTTCTCACCTCCCGCTTTCCTTTATGGGCACCGCCACCGCGAGTCCTTCGTCTGTCCCCCAGGCCTGGTCGGAGTTGTCCGCCTCCTGCCCGCTGGCCCTGGGAGCAAAACCTTGTGTCCTTCAGCCGCAGGGGGCGGCTGCGTGCGCCCGGGCTCGGGTGCCAGGCTGCCTGCTCCCTCCCCAAGCTGTTGGACTTAACTCGGTCTAGGCTTGGAGGTCTTAGTGTCATGGGCGATGCCTGTGCGTGTCTGAAAAGGTTGGGTCTTGCTTTTCACGGGAACTTTGCCTTAAGAGTATATACTCCTTTTTGTTTTCTTTGAAAACTATGATGCAAGTCGGTGAAACAAATCTGGACGTGAAATAGGGCATGGATACGAGAGGAATTGTTTCTGTGAGTTTGGCTCGCAAAGCCTCCTAATGAAGTATACGTGAACATAGAAAATTCTCTAGCGATCATATCCACTTGTTCTAAAGCTTACTGTCCCAGGGGAGTGAAATCTTGATCATTTCACAGCCCAATCGAGTGCTTTGTCCATAGTTGGGACCCAGTGGGCTTTTTTTTGTTAATGGGTTTTACCACCCTTTTTTGTTAATGGGTTTCCTTTTTTATCTTGTCTTCTTTTTTAAGGGCTTGCCTTAGGACATAGAAAGAAACCTAGAAGGCTGTTTTTAAACTGAGGTAATAGTTGTCTTGTGTTCTAACTACTTGGGGAGTTTTTTCCTTACCACTTCTCCCCAAAACAGCTGTTTTCTTATCCAAAAGTTTAAAGAATTAGAATTGAGTATTTGCAATTCTGAGACGGGTCTGTGCCTTAACTTTTTAGTAGAAAGCATAGAAACTAATTGGGCAATCCTCAAAGCAATCTCGTTGTTGGAATTGGAGTTCTTTATTCTGGTAACAGTCTCTTAGAATCTTTTCCTATTAGGCGAACCACAAGCTCTTTGAAGAAGCTGTTTGTGTGACCTGAATAGAATTAAAATACTGTTTAAATTATTTAAGGAAAATAAAGTTGTTATAGGGCATTTTACCTGTTAATAGGTTGGGGTTTTTTGGTTGGTTGGTTGGTTTAGGGTTTTTAAACTGATCTAAGGAAAGGGTGCGATAGATATAAAATACTTTGTAACGTCTGTTAGGTTTGTGTTATACAAGTTTCTTTCCTTTTTTGTATGATGAGGGAGCACGACTAGAATTTACTTGCAGAGCATTCTTAGGATATTTATGACCTTAGTAGTCTTTTGGGGTGCAAGAAACCAGCAAAAAGTCGGCTTTCAAGCCTTTTTTTTTTTTAAGTTTATTTATTTATTTTGAGAGCGATAGAGCATGCGAGCAGGGGAGAGGCAGAGATCTAGAGAGAGAGAGAGAGAGAGAGAACAAATCTCCAGCAGACTCCATGCCATCATCACCCAGGGCTCAAACCCACGAACTGTGAGATCATGACCTGAGCCGAAATCAAGAGTCCCACACTTAACTGACTGGGCCACCCAGGCACCCCGTCAAGCTTTAAACTTAGTAGGCCAGCCTGGCAATTTCTTAGTTTAGTGAAGTTTTTCCTATCCCCGTAGTGTTTGGATGATGCGCTTATCTGCTGTGAAGTTTGACTAAGCTAGATTAGGAAACTAGGATGTAGGCCATGAAAAGGAGCAGGCTGTAGGTGAAGAAATCAGTACTAGTTATATAAATTAACTTTGACTTTAGATGGATATTGTGCCTCTGGTTAGATGGTAAATTAGGCATTTTAATCTAAATGAAACCTGAAGGACTCCTAACTTACTTTTCAAAACTAAAGACAGTAGAAGCCTATCGATTGCTAAAATTTCCTGCGGCTCCTTTTCCCATTGTGTTACCACCATGCTCAAACTAAAACATTTGAACATTTTTACATTTCAGCTCTTATACCTTAAGCCTAAAGTGAGAGAGAAAACCCAAGATTTTGTTTCTTCCAGCAAATTAATGTTTCAAGATTTGTTTTTGTTCTCTTTTCTGCCCCTTTGTCTTCAGTCTCATTAAGTTGTGGCAGTATTTTTTTTATAAAGTATTTTTTTTAATGTTTATTTTTGAGAGAAAGCGAGCACAAGCAGGGGAGGGACAGAGACAGGGAGAGACAGAGGATCTGAAGCAGGCCGTGAGCCCAATGCAGGGCTGGAACTCATGAGCCGTGACATCATGACCTGAGCCTGTTGGCTGCTCAACCAACTCAACTGACAGCCACCCAGGCATCCTGTGGCAGTATTTTTTTAAAGGGAGATTTACCTTCCCTGAATATTAAAAAAGAACCTCTGATTTGTAGTCGATCGAGCAAATATCTGAGAGCCTACTCTGTGCCCACCCCTGTTGTAGGTGTGGCATTACAACAGTAATCCAGATCAAGTCCCTGCTGTCATGCGGTTTACAAATTAGAAGGGGAGATAGAACATAGAAAATAATTAGTAAATATCATAGGGGATACTGATAAGTGGGATGACAAAAATAAAGCAGTGTCAGAGGCTAGAGAATGGTATACTGCTGTTTTAAATAGGTCAGGGGACACTTCTTAGTTGAGGCAGGGAGTCCTCAACTAAGTGAGGGAGTCCTGTTAGTACCTGGTACTTTTTTTAACATAGTGGCTCACGTTAGACACCTGAAATATGGTCACCAACTATTGAAGAGGAAGCAGGTCTGTTGTGAAATGCAGCACGCCTAGGGGGTGATGAGGAAACTGGAGACAGAGACACTGGACTGGAGAATATAGATACAGGGTATATCTAATAAACATAATTCGTTTGGGGTAATGCCTTAGCAAGAATTATTTAACAGCAAATTTAGAAAAATGATGAGACAAAAGAAGCCTCCTCTTTCTGGGATGTTTGGAGAGAAAGAAACCAAAGAGAAAGGAAAGAAGCATATCGCTTGGAGTGCTAGGTACGGTTCTAGACGCACAGTCCCTGCTCCGAGGTCCTCACAGTCTGTCGAACTGAAACAGACATGGAGCCAGTAGAAGGCCAAAGACAAAGTGCGCTTGCTTTGCAAGCTTGCCTAGCACTGGTTCATCCAAAATTATCCCTTCATGTTAATCTTGTCTCCGTGCTTTGGTGTCCTTATTTATAAAATGATGATCTCATAGGGTTATTGTGAAGACTCCATTAGTAAAACACCCAGAAAAGTGCCTGATTCATAGTAAACACTCCCATGACTTGTAAAGAGGAGGAGTAGGAGAGTGGTGGCTGGTTCTTGTGCTAGTGAGGTGTCTGGGGAGGTTTCTGAAATTGGCGAGAGCATGCTGATTGTCTTCAGCAGTAGATCTGTGATGAATTTCCGTTTCCCTCATTTTCAGGATTTCTGCTTATTTGTGATCAATCTGATTCGTCTGAGAGGGTACATGTGAGAACAGAAATTTTGGTTTGATTCTTAGGAATCCTTGGGCCTAGGGGCACCTGGGTGGCTCACTGGGGTGAGCGTCCGACTTCGGTTCAGGTCATGATCTCATGGTTCAGTTCATGAGTTCAAGTCCCGTGTCAGGCTCTGTGCTGACAGCTCAGAGCCTGGAGCCTGCTTTTTTTGGATTCTGTGGCTCCCTCTCTTTTTGTCCCTCCCCTGCTCATGCATGCTCTCTCCCTCTCTCTCTCAAAAAGAAATAAACATTAAAAAAAAAAAAAAAGAATCCTTGGGCCTGTTTTAAACAGTTTTTTGAGGTCAACCTCCCTTGGTCTAATAAACTTTTGGATGTCCACTCCCAAGTGCAGAGCCTAGCAGATTGCCAGACCCTCAGGATATATTACATACTAGAGAAGAGAAATGTTGTCCTCAGGGATTGTGTGGGGTTTGAATGATTCCTGACATGAAGATTTGTTTGTTGCTATATATCTACCATCTAGAAGAGTGAATGTAGGAGAAGTGCTTCGTAATTGGGAGGAATGAATCAAGAGAATAAAACTGGGAAGTATGCATGATTTTGTCACCTATAGATCATGTAATCACCTTCCGTGATGACCCTATGATTTAAAATTTTGTCTTATAGAAGCACAACAAGTTCTTTGTAGAAAAATTGAAATTATTTTTGAAAAACAGGAAAAATGATCTATATTACAGTTTTTGAATGCACATACTTATAGTGCGTGTTTGAGGGAAATTAGTATTTTTAAAAAATCGTGTTGATGTATCATATACGTTCAGAAAAGTGCGTGTAAATGTGTAGCTTGATCTAGTTTCATAAGCTGAATACAGCCAGCTAAGACAGCATGCCGGAAGCTCCCTTCGTGCTCTCTTCCATCACTGCCAAGAGTGGTAACCACTCCCCTGATCTCAAATGGCAGATATTTGCCTGTTTTGGGGCTTTATATAAATGGGACCACACTGTGTGTACATAGTTCTTACAATCTACTTAATATGGTGAATAACCGTATAACGTAATTCTACGACATCATTTTAGTGGCTGCGTAATATTCTGGCATATAGATACACTGTAATTTAATCCCTTATTCCTGGATGTATGTATTTTGAACTTTTTCACTGTTGATAAATGATACTGTGATGAATAGAGATCTTTTAGTGCATCGCTGTTTTTTTTTTTCATTTTTTTATGTTTATTTATTTCTGAGCACGAGCGGGGGAGGGGCAGAAAGAGAGGGAGACACAAAATCCGAAGCAGGCTCCAGTCTCCAAGTTGTCAGCACAGAGCCCGACACGGGGCTCGAACTCACGAGCAGTGAGATCATGACCTGAGCCAAAGTCATACTTAACCAACTGAGCCACCCAGGCACCCCCCCATCGCTGATTATTTCTAAAAATAAGTTCTTAGACATGGAATTGCTGGGCAGAAGTTATACAGTTCTGAGGTATTTCCTGTGTATTGGCAAATTGTCCTGAAAAAGATGACCAAATTACATTACAGCAGTGATGGAGGAGAGGAGCCATTTCCTTGAAATGACTCTCACCACTTCCTTGACATACCAATTGTTGAGGTATTATTTAAGAAGATGTTTGTCGGTTTGAATGTAGGCAAAAATTGGTATTTTATTGCTCTCATTCAAACTTGATTCGAGTGAAATTGAACACTTTATTGTAGGTTTGTTGGCTACTTGCATTTTATCTCTGAATTATCTTTGTGTCTTGTTGTATCATGTTTACTTCTTAGTTTTTCATTTCTTCTTTTCCTGTCTTCAGACACCAGAATCAAACAGGGCACTTGCAACATATAGCAGAGGGTGCTGAAAGTGTAGAGGCCAGCATTGCTCAAGGGCGTTAGGAACTTGGGCATTCTGTCACAGGTATTCATTGAGCATCCACTGTGGGTTTTCTGCCGGGGAAAGCAGTACTCACAAGTCTTTTGGACTGATTTACATTGCTGTTATGTGATAGAAGAAACCTGTTATTTTAATTGAGATATAATTGACCTACTACATGAGTTTCAGGTGTATGCCATTGATTCAGTGTGTGTATATATTGCAGAAGGAACACAATACGTCCATCACCACACAGTTACAATTTTTTTCTTGTGATGAGAACTTTAAGATGTACTCTCTTATCTTAGCAACTTTTAAGTATGCATTACAGCATTATTACCAAGTGTAGCAACGAGGTGTATATTACATCCCATGACTTCTTTATTTTCTTAACTAAAAGTTTGTACCTTTTGACTACCTTCACCCATTTTAGCCACCCCCCACCCCCACCCATCTGTTCTCTCTCTATATATGAGTTCAGTGTTTTATGTTGTTAAGATTCTACATAAAAGTGAGCCCAGGGCCCCCAGGGTGGCTCAGTTGGTTAACACCCGATCTCAGCTCAGGTCATGATCTCACAGTTCGTGAGATGGAGCCCACCATCGGGCTCTGCACTGACACCATGGAGCCTGCTTGGGACTCTCTCTCTCTGCCCCTCCCCCATGCTCTCTCTCTCAAAAATAAATAAACTTTTTTTTTTTTTTTTTTTAAAGTAAGACCGTACTGGGGCACCTGGGTAGCTTAGTTAAGCGTCTGACTTCGGCTCAGGTCATGATCTTGTGATTTGTGAGTTTGAGCCCCGCGTGGGGCTCCGTGCTGACAGCTCAGAGCCTGGAGCCTGCTTCAGATTCTGTGTCTCTCCATCTCTTGGCCCCTCCCCTGCTCATGCTCTGTGTCTCTCTGTCTCTCGATAATAAATAAACATTAAAAAAAAATTTTTAAGTGAGACCGTACTTTGTCTTTCTTTGTCTTGGTTCACTTAGCGTAACACCCTCAAAGTCTGTCCACATGGTCAGAAATGGCAAGATTTCCTTCTTTTTTATGGCAAATAATATTCCGCTGTATTTATATAGAACACATTGTCTTTATCCATTCATATCTGTCAGCGAACGCAGGTTATTTCCATGTTTTGGCCATCGTAAACAGTGCTGCAGTGAACGTGGGGGTGCAGATACCTTCTCCAGTGACTGTTTTCATTTCCTTCGGATAAGTACCCCGAAGTGGAATTACTGGATCGTGTAGTAGTTCTATTTTTAATTTTTTGAGGAACCTCGGTGCTGCTTAATACAATGGTTACAACATTATAGTCCCACTGACGGTGCAGGAACCTTCCTTTTTCTACACTTTGTTACCAACACTTGTTGTTTCTTGTCTTTTTGATACTGGCCATTCTGACAGGTGTGAGGTGGTATTTCATTTGCAATTTCCCTGATGGTGAGTTATGTCGGCCATCTTTTCATGTACCTGTTGGCCATCTGTATGTTGTCTTTGGAGATATGTCTGTTCAGATCTTCTGCCTATTTTTCAATTGGACCACTTGGGTTTTTTGTTATTGAGTTGTAAGAGTTTTGTTTTGTTTTGTTTTTTTACATATTTTCAGTATTAACCCCTTATCAGACCCATGGTTTGCAAATATTTTCTCCCATTCATAGACTGCCTTTTCATTTTGTTTATGGTTTCCTTTGCTGTGCAGAAGCTCTTTAGTTTGATGTTTACTTTTGCTTCTGTTGCATTTGCTTTTGGTGTCAAATCCAAAAACTCATCCACAAAACCAGTGTCAAGGAGCTTACCACCTATGTTTCATTCTAGGAGTTTTATGGTGTCAGGTCTTATGTTCAAGTCTTTGATCCATTTTGAGTTGATATTGTGTATAGTATAAGGTAGTGGTCCAGTGTCATTCTTTTGCATGTGGCTGTCCAATTTTCCCAACACCATCTATTAAAGAGACTCCTTTCTCTATTGTATAGTCTTGCCTCCTTTGTAGATTAATTGAACCATATAATTGTGGGTTTACTTCTGGGCTCTCTATTCCATTGATCTGTGTGTCAGTTTTTATGTATGTTTTGGTTACCGTATCTTTGTAATACAGTTTGAAACCAGGGAGTGTAATGCCTCCAGTTTTTTGTTTTTCAGTTTTTTTCACCTGTGACTCCACCTCCCTTCTGGCATCCACCAGTTTGTTTGCCGTATTTAAGAGTCTGGTCTGGGGCACCTGGGTGGCTCAGTTGGTTGAGCGCCCAACTTCAGCTCAGGTCATGGTTCATGAATTCGAGCCCCACGTCAGGCTCTCTGCTGTCAGTGCAGAGCCTGCTTCTAATCCTCTGTCCCCTTCTCTCTCTACCCCTCCCCTACTGGCATTCTCTGTCTCTCATTCTCTCTCTCTCTCTCTCTCAAAAATAAACATTAAAAAAAAAAGTCTACTTTTTCATTTGTCTCTTTTTTTCTTTGTTTCATCATTTGTTTCTTAAATTCCAAACATGAGTGAAAGCATGTGGTATTCATCTTTCTCTGACTTATTTCACTTAGCATTATACCCTTTTGGTCCATCCGTGTTGTCACACATGGCAAGATCTCATCCTTTATGACTGAGTAACATTCCATTGTGTATATATAGCACATCTTCATTCATCTATGGATGGACACTCAGACTGCTTCTGTATCCTGGCTGCTGTAAATATCATGCAGCAATAAACATAGGGGTGCATATATCTTTCAGTCGTGTTGATTTGATTTGCAAATACTGACCCACTCTTGCATCCCTGGAATAAATCCCACTTGGTCATGGTGAAAGATTTTTTTAATGTATTGTTGTATTGTTGGTTAGCTGATATTTTGTTGACATTGTTTGCATCTGGGTTCATCAGAGACATTGGTCTGTAGCTTTCTTTTTTTGTAGTGTCTTTATCTGGTTTTGGTATCGAAGTAATGCTGGTCTTGTGGAATAATTTTGAAAGTTTTCTTTCCTCTCCAATTTTTGGAGTATTTGAGAGGAATAGATATTAACTTGTCTTTAAATGTTTGTTTGAATTTACCTGTGAAGCCATCTGGTCCTGGACTTTGTTGGTTTTTGGGTTACTGATTCAATTTCATTGCTAGTAATCAGTCTGTTCAATTTTCTTTTTCTTACTGATTCAGTTTTGGAAGGTTGTATGTTTCTAGGAAATTACCCATTTCTTCTAGGTTGTCTGATTTGTTGGCAAGTAACCTTATATGTTCCTATAATCCTTTGTATATCTGTGGTGTTGGTTGCTGTTTCTCCTCCTTAATTTCTGATAGTATTTATTTTGAGTCTTTTCTCCCTTTTTTGATGAGTCTAGCTAAAGGTTTATCAATTTTGTTCATGTTTTCAAAGAACCAGCACCTGGTTTCATTGATCTGTTCCATTGTTTTCTTAGTCTGTATATCTTTTTTTTTTTTTTTTTAAGTATGCTTCACACCCAGCACAGAGACCAAGGCAGGGCTTGAACTCACGACCCTGAGATCAAGACCTGAGCTGAGATCAGGAGTCGGATACTTAACCAACTGAGCCACCCAGGTGCCCCTAGTCTGTATATCATTTATTTCTGCTCTGATCTTTATTATTTCCTTCTTTTTATTGGCCTTGGATTTTGTTCTTCTTCTAGCTTCTTTAGGTATAAGGTTAGATTATTTATTTGAGATTTTTCTTGTTTGTTGAGGTAGGCTTGTATTGCTATAACCATCCCTCTTAGAATAGCTTATACTGCACGATGCCTCCAGCTTTGTTCTTCCCCAAGATTGGTTTGGCTGTTTAAGGTCTTTTGTGGTTCCATACAAACGTTAGGATTGTTTGTTATATTTCTGTGAAAAGGGCCATTGGAATTTTGATAGGGATTGCATTGAATCTATAGATTGCTTTGGGTAGTGTGGACATGTAAAAATTCTTCCAACCTGTGAGCACAGAATAACATTCCATTGATTTTCTGTGTACTTTAGTTTCTTTCATCAGTGTCTTGTAGCTTTCAGTGTGCAGGTCTTTGACCTTCTTGTTTAAATTTATTCCTGGGTATTTTATTCTTTGTGATTCTATTGTAAATAGAATTG